AAAAAAAAAAAAAATCATTTGAGAACCAATGGATTTTAGACATGCATAATGATAATAGAAAACAAACCTTGGCTAAAAAGAAACTAAGAACATACAGACTTTTTAAACAAGATTTAAAAATTGAAAATTACCTAATTAATATGCAGAACCATGGTCTTAGAAGTTTAATTGCAAAATTCAGGACAAGCAACCATGACCTTAAAATTGAGAAAGGCAGACATAATAATTGAGGATGAGCAACATTTTGTAATGAAATGTCCAGCTTACAGTCATCATAGGGACAAATTATTCCTAACTGCACAAAATAAAGTTCCAAATTTTGATAAAGAAAATAGTCAGAATAAATTCATTTTGATTATGGCAAACCATACTCTAGCACCAGCCTTAGCTGTCTTCTTAAAAAACAGCTATGGAACAAAACAGAAACAACTATCAGTGTATTCACCATTGGCTGCAAATTGTCTTTATTGTTTATTCATATTTGTTTTTGATTTGTTTTATATCTTTAGAATAGGTTTTTTTTTTGTTTTGTTTTTAGATTATAGCTTTTAAATTTCTTTCTGTAAAAGACTCTTTTTATTGCGTTGATTGCGGAAAGATAAAACGAGACAAGATAACCCCAGATAAACCCTATTCGTTCCATTGCCTAGTTTACATACTCATTGCAACAAAGTTCAGAAAGTGAATTAAGACGGTGATCAATACTTACGAGTTACTTTTGTTTCTTGTAGACAAATAATGTCAGCTTCCAAAGAATCCAACAAACTCTTTAAAGGTTTCTTTGCGGCTCGAATTCCATTTATATTCCACGTCAATATTCTCATGGTGTAAAACGGGTGGTTATAAACCGGTAAATGCGTCGGTGACACAACAACACAACGAAATGCGTATAACACGAGGTCAAAACACATGCGCGTTCCAAAGGTCACTTTAGAGGTCATCGCTTTCCTCTCTTCCTTGTTAATATAAACGACGTTGATTGGTCAATTACGAAATCGTCGGTCTTTACATCCATCGATTAGCCAATCACACCCATCGTTTCTGAAACACCCGGCGTCTGTACTGTTGTGGGTCGATTTCACTCCGCGTCAGTTTCGTGTTTTTTCACAATTTGCCAATTTGTTGTTCCCCCGTGGGCATTTTTCCGAAGTATCTAACATGTCGACCATCGTTGCTGACCCATCCGTTCTTACAAAAGATCGCCTGAAATCAGACCTACAGTCGCACAACATTCCTCTCCCTTCTGGGGACGCAAGAAAAGATGCCTATGTGAAGCTGTATTTAAAACACCTGACCCCGTTGATAGCAAAGAAACACAGGGATTCTCCTAAGAGATCTGAATTTTCCAGCGATGAGGAAAGTACACCGCGGGTTAGAGGCGAACGGAAGGTGTGTATGTGATTGTCTTATTCGCTATTCGTATGAGGAGTCCAATCTCCCAGCCGTATGTTTCCAATTTTACTTTCCGCGTGGTCTTCCTTGACAATGTGATCGTATACTATAGTGTATACAGTTTGTAACGCTGTATTGTAAACACCATGACGGTCAGTGAGCTGCAACAGTTGTGCGTGATGTGAATCCTTTGTTGGCATGTTCGCATGTACTATTCAGTTCCTTGTTGTGCTATTGCATTTTTATTATAGCTCTAAAATAATCTGTTTGTTTTTTTAGCTTCACGTTTAGTTTAACTAAATTATCCCTAGTATCACAGAGCTCATTTTTGCCCTACGCGTGTGCTACGCAACCATTCACCCCACGACTATACGACGATTGTTTTACTATGATAATGATAACACATTTGATGCCACTTTCTCTTGAAATATATAACTTGCAATTGAAAGTTGGAAATGTGTTACAAGAAATGTGGTCATTAAAATTAATTAGGTTATGCAAACAGCTGAGAAGTTGTAATTCTCAGCAGGGACTTGACAAGCAGGGACTGTATACTAACTGTTTACAACCCTGAATTTGAAGTCACAAAATTAGAGACAAGATTGGGACCTTCAGTTGGATTTAACCCCATTATTTCTTAGGGATCACTCATTTGCAAATGGCATGTGTAAACTAAAAAATTGTAACCCCTGTTTGTCATATGCAATAGATATAAAGCATTATTGTTGATTTTGTTGTTTGCCATGTGATTATTTAACCAATTGTATGACAAATACATGTTATATATCATTAGAAATATTTGTTTATATTTATTTTCTACAATCAGTCATGCAAATTTGCATTTTTCTGAACAATATTGGATTTAGAATATTGATAAAATTTGTTCTGCAGTTTAATTATAATTGAATGCATATTTTGATAAAATTACATGTATTTTTAAACAAACCAAACTACAATAAAAACGAATGTAACAATGTCATTTGACCAGTAGAGGGCGCTTAACTATTTTCTTTTCTGGAAGTGAGCTTCGACCTGAGCAAGCATTATGGCGTCGTATTCGGTAAGACATTTCTTTACTCTAAGTTCTGCGTAATTTGAATGAAAAATGTCACTGTATTTAAGGTAACCTTGAATTTTAGTGCAATCTTCGAAATATGTGATTACTGTGAATAATTTACACAAGATAATTCATAAGCAACGAGTTTGTGTAAGGCAGTGTCTGTGTAATCCTTCGAAAATAGACAGGGTGTGAGACTGGGGTGCAAGCACGAACCCCGCATTTTTCATGGTGCAAATACGAACATATTGGTCTTTTGATATTCGGAAAAGGGGAATCTTATTTTTGTCACGTCGATTGGTACACCCGAAGCACAATATCACGCGTGCAAAGTTTACTAGAAAACACCCTAAAAACGGTATGCGCGCGCATGAGAAACCCGTATCTTCGACTTCCGGGAAATTGATGATATCAAATACTGATTTGATGAATATTCTTCACATAGGAAACTATTATGTACAATTTCAACTATTTATAAATAAAATAACATCACCAAACCGTCTCGAGTTGCGTTTGATTGAATGCAAAACAGCAACAATGAAATCTTCTGCCTTCTTACCGTAAAGTTACATAATTCCTAGTACCTTGTTTTTATTTCATGCTTTGCTTGCATTAACAATTAGTAAGGGTTTGTGTGGTGAGGAATGTACTCGTTATTTTATTTCTTCTCTAAAACCCAATGCCAAGACACTTCATAATTTATCTAAATATAACTTACTATGATGTCATAGTTTGTTTACACTATGCAAAATAAGGTGAAGCCATGTTGCGTTGTAATTTCTTATTTACTAGTTTCTTAATGTGGACTCGTCTTTCAGATATTTTTTCTTGTTTTGAGTGTTTTTTTTTTTTAGATTTTCTAAATGCATTGTGAAGTTTATTTATATACATTTTGTGTTTGCATTGTGTACAATTTGTATTTTCATGAGATTAGGCATACATAGTGGTACCTTAATTGATGCACTTCATTTGATTTTTCGGATGGAGTTTAAATTTTCTGACTGACGGCCAGTTCTGGATTTATATATCCAACATGCCTAGACCGATCAAGCTCAAACTTCACTGCATATAAGACATTGTATTGGACAAAATGTACATGTATTTTAGTCACCATCGAATCAAAAATGGCTAATTAGCAGTCATCTTGTACAAATACAGTTTTATAGGCCACAACTGTGGCCATGAGTTCACTGTATCTTATACACATGCCTGGAGCAATCAAGTTTATACTTCACAAAAAACATCACACATTAGGTTATATATCTCACATGGACTGTCATTGACAATGACTTTGTGTTTCATCTATTATATTATATCTGCTTGCCATAGTTTTTGATAATTTATGATTTTGATTACATGTATTATTATTACATAAATTTTTCACTTTAACCTTTTTCCAGGTAAGCTACACATGTAACAATTCATGTTCCGAGGATGAGAAAAATTTAAATGTTTGTTCTAGGGAATATTTCCTATGGCAAGGCAACATATGGTGAATAAATTATACATGTATATAGAGTCTCACATTGTTTGAATCTAGAAGTATTACAAAAATGACATTTATAGTGAGTTTTTAATGATAAAATGTGGCATTGGCAAGGTTATAGAAACCACTGCGAAATTTAATTCATATTATTTGACAGCTCTCAATATAAAATATTGAAAATTGTCGCATACGACTTGTTTACCACTTCCGTGTGACTGAGAATGTTCTAGAACCGTACTGTGTCTGGGTGGAATTTTTAGATGTTGATTGAATAGGTAATAGGACACTATAGAAGGCAATAGAAGGTAATG